CCCCCCCCCCCCCCCCCCCCCCCCCCCCCATCTTTGTGCCCGGGGCAGCCACACCATCTTCCCCCCAGTTGTTATGCCACCGACTCCCACTCACTCTGCGCGCGCGCACACTCTACTTACACTGGTTGTACCTTGCTATGCAGCCCTCCCACAGTCTACTATGAGCAGCCAGGAGAGAAGGAGGCTGAGGGTCTTCGAGCAGTGCCTGAATGGTCAGTCCGCGCTCAGCTAAGCGCTCGCTGGGACTCCACAATACTTTTCCCTGGGAAGGCCCGATTCAGCCCGTCCACAGTCCACAATGAGCAGCCCGGGGAGGAGGCTGAGACATGGGGAGGCCGCGGGTCCTCGGGCAGTGCCCCAACTGTCAGTCTGCACTCAACGAGGCATTTGCTTGCGAGTGAGGTGTTGAGCAGGGAGGGGGAGGGTGTGAGGAGATTAAAGCAGCCCAACTAATGATAATGAAAAGCGTTGAAAGCGATTTTCATTATCGATCAACTTTATCAATTAGTTGTTTCAGCCCTAGTGCACGTCCCTAATATTCATTCATACTGGTAGAAGCAGTAAACGCATACCGAAGCCTGTGAGCAGTGCTGTGTTGGCAGGCATTTTATTAATGAACCGTTTTGGGGGGTTTGTTTGTTTATTTATAGATGCCAGCGCTGGCACATATTACTTCCATATCGGGAGCATGTCAAGGAGGGTGGCTATGTTCCCACATACAGTACGACCATGTAGAGCGAATGTATCCAGCCTCCTAAAGAAAGTTAGTACTTCAAAGAATAAAAAAATAATTTTTGGTGATGTGCTGTGGCAAAATGCCATTAGAAGGGAAAACAAAAATGACAAAACAAGGTATTAAGATTTTTTTTTTTTTTAAATCTGGGTATAGTGACACCAACTTTAAAAAAAAAGTGAATTTATACTACAATTTATTGTAAACAGGCTCTACTGAGCTGCGTTGAAGCTGCAGAGTAACAAGCTCTGAATACTGGTGATGACATCTCGGGCTATTCTGTGGCTTTGCTGTGTGACTTGGTAGTAGCGGCTAAATGCAATTAAAATATCTTGGAATTTTGCTTAAATTATAGGACTTACAAATGTTTTTGTTTCCTGTAGGAAAAAAAAACAAAAAAACACCATATCAATGAGTTCAGATCAAATGGAGGCAAGGCCACTTTGCAACAATAATCCCAAGGATGAATATATAACCACCACACATTTGCAAATATGACAGGTTTGTGACAGTTTCACACAAAAAAAAAAAAACGGGGGAAAAAAACCCCCTAAAATTATATCAGTGAAGTGCAATCATTCTCTGCAGTTCGGTCACTCTGTCCATCAGTAAAATTCATGTAAATGCGTATAAAATTATCCTATGCAATGCAGCATGCTGATCTGAGTTCTACTTACCTGTCCCAAGATGGGTCCTAGAGGGGGTCCTGGTGCAGCCTGCCCAGCACCTAAGACTGCTCGAATCACACCAGCAACATCTGTTTTCTTTGCAGCTTTAACAGCCCGAGAAGCCTTAGACATGGCTATACAAATAATAGAATTAAGGATAGTCAGCTTATTTTTTTCTCCTGTAATCGTCCCTGCCTTATTAAATTTGTAAATATATGCAAACTTTGTAAGCAGTGACATGTGAGCAGTTGAGTCAGAACCTTCTATAATAGCATGCATGTCCCGGCCCCAGTTGCGATACCCACCTCTAGCAAGGAGCATAGTAATAGTATGGAGAGCTCCAGCCTTCGCACGCACTGGTTTACCATCTTACTGAACATGCATCATACGAACATTCACTAACTCAGAGCTGGACAAATCCCAGCCTCCAGGTCGCCATGGTGACTAGAAATTGCGCCCTGGCGCCTGGGCTTTTGTCAGCCTTCCCCCGCCCCCCACGTCTCTCGTAGCGCTTGTGACACGGTAACTGAGGGCTCCTTTAAGGCCTGTTCACACGACGTCCGTTTTCTGTGGGAACGAGACCATTGAATACAATGGGATTTATATTTTTGAGCGTTTTGTAGAGCGTTCGTCGAGCGTAGAACGCGCTACAAAACGTTCAGGTGTGAACGAGGGCTTAAACACTGCGGCAGCAGACTTTGTGAAAATTAATATTTGTGTCATTCTCAAAACATTTGGTCATGAATGTATATAGTGACAGAGGAGCCGAGCTCCAACGACTGGTGTGTGAACCGGTCACCATTCTCTCCCCACCTTAGTGGACGCCGTAGCCTGTCTACTGTGATTGGTCGGTTAATCTGGGAACTAGAGTGTCTGGAAAGGAGGGAGAGATGATAGACCGACAAGATGGGGCACAGCACCCTATACAACTGCTTAGGGCCGCAACTAACATTTATTTTCATAATCGATTAGTTAGCCAATTATTTTTTTGATTAATCGGATAAAAGAAAAAAAAATACCATCCTTAATTTAATATAAAATAAGCGGCAATACCTGATGTGTATCACAATCGTCGTTTTTCTATGTAGGTGCACCCAACCTGTGTTTCTGTTACTATACATGTGTTTGGAGGGTTGGGGGACTCAAATTTTTTTTGGGAGGCGGGGGGGGGGGGACCCCTAATGTCACCTTGCCACTTCACTGGATTCAGCTGCTGGGGCAGCTGAATGTCAACACAGCAGGCAGTGGCTGGGAGCAATAGCCAGCCTGTTATTGGTTATTTTAAACTGCAATAACCAATAGCAAGCTGGCTATTGCACCCACCCACTGCCTGCTGTCAATCAGCAGAGGAGGGAACTGAAGGAGAAAGTTCTCCTTCAGGTCCCCCACTGCTGACAGCAGGCAGTGGGCAGGTGCAATAGCCAGCCAGCTATTGCAATGTAAAATATCCAATAGCAGGCTAGCTATTTTTTCCAGTCACTGATGAGAGTTGCAGTGGTCTTTGTCCCCGCTGCATCTGCCGATACAAGCAGGGAGAGCAGCGGAGATTGAAAGGGACACAGACTGCTGCAGCCAGCATCAGCAGAGAGAACAGAGGAGCAGAGCGGCATCAACTAATCGAAAATAAATGAATGTATGATGAGAATCGTTGCCAACGATTCTCATTATCGATTATAATCGATTAGTTGTTGCAGCCCTACAACTGCTCCAGATCTCTATTGTTTGTAGCTAGCAGGTGCAGTGTCAGAGGATGTTATTCTGATCAGCAGCATGATCTCTGTAGTGATGATTGTGTATATCAAGGAAAGGGGAGCAGACAAAACCTTGGGACCTGACCTAAGAACTACCTTGTTCTGTTGTTACTTAGAGCAGATACTTTATCCGTGCAGATTACTTGCCAAAAAAATACATTTTCAGGAATCTTCTAGGACTACCTGAGAAATGATTGGCTCAACTTTCAACAGGAAATTCAAACCATAATTAAAACAGCCACCAGGGTGCACGAAAGGAAAAATCATACCAACAAACCAGCCTACAAAGTAGAGGAAATCATGGTTGGGAATAAAGACATAGTCCTGGAAATGCCATTATTGGTAAGTTTAAAGGGTTAATAAACCCTCTATTTTTTTGCATTTATCTACTGCTAGCAAGCAGTAGATAAATAGGTTAATACTTACCCGTGTCTTCCCCGCGCTCCTGTGCGAAAATGTGAAAATTCTCGGGCGGCCGCAAAACATCTTGGGGCGGGCGCATGCACAGTTCACATTTTCGGCCGGGAGATGAGGAGACACACAAGGTAAGTCTATGGACGGCGTGCACCCGCATGCAGACACCGTGGGACAGGAAGTACAAGCAAGGACAGAGGAGTCAGCGCTGGATCGGAGAGCCGCCGCATCGCTGGAGGGACAGATGAAAACGACAGGAAAGAAGAAGATCGGATTAAGAGACATCATTTAAAGGCAAGTGCTTTAAATTAACATTGGGTGGAGGGGAACATGTTTTTTACTTTAATGTCACTTTAACCTTGGTTTTCCCATAATCATCTTCCTAGACTGCAAGCTGAGAGGATAAACAAGGAACCTTTATACCTTAGGGTAAACAACAACCTGTAAAACCTCTTTCAAAGGCCAAAGTTTGGCTGGATAAGAGTTCCACTAAGTAGAGTTTCACAAAAGCATGGTTTGGTCAATCATACTGCAAGCTTTCTTCACATAAGGCTCCTGGCCTCTCTGCCCATGATGCTGCCACTGATCTTGAAGAATGAGATTTAGCTGGAGGTTGATGACCCATGCTGCCATATGAAGTATTGCTTCTCTAATCCATCTGGCAATGGAAATCTTAGAGGCCTTAAGCACTTTCTTTTTTTGGGTCACTAAACAAAACTAGAAGATGGCTAGATCTTCTGAAATCATTAGTCAATTCCAAATATCTCAAAAGACACCTTTCACATCTAAAAAACTGAACCGTTCTTCCTTTTCAGGGGAACAGCAGAAGGATGGGGAAAAAAAATCACTTCTTGTGATCCTTGGAATGCCGAAGACACTTTTGGAAGGTACATAGGGTCCAGAACACCGGGAATCCGGCTTTGAATGTAAACAGAGCCAGAGATGGCTGTTTACATACAAGCGTTCAGGCATCTGTAGAGACGCCCAATCGCTTGTATTAAGCGTGCTGGTGTGCTTCCCCCCGTCGCCGCCGCTGGCAATCCCGGGCTCCGCTGTTCCCGGTTTGAGCCCGGGACCAGCACAGCAGCTCTGCGGCCGGAGATCAAACGGAGCTCGGTACACGAGCTCCGTTTGATCTCCTCTCCTCTTCTGAATGCAGGCAGTGATGTGTATTACATCACTGCCTGCATTCAGTGTCACTCTCCGGTACAGAAACCGGAGAGAAGCTGGTGAAGCAAGTCTTCATCAGCTTCTCTGGGGGTCCCTAGGTGACATTAGGGGTCTTAAAGACCCCTGATGTCTCCATAAAGAGGACCTGTCACTGCAAATTGGCTATCACATAGGGAGCTTGTTTGCTCCCTATGTGATAGCAATAAAGTTCAGTGGAAAAAGAAAAAAGTTTCAAAAAATTTTACAAAAAAATTAACACATATCAAAGCGATAAAAAAAAATTAAAAAAAAATTAAAGTCCCCCACCCCCACATGCAAACATGCGTCAAGCCCACCTACGTGCGAAAACGCTGATTACATCCATTACACCGCACATGTTACATATCGCCACGAACTTCGGAATGAGAGCTATAATTCTAGGGTCATCAATCACTGATAACACTAAACTGATGAGCAGTAAAAGCTTTTAAAGCGTCGGCTATGGTCAATTTTGAGTATGGAAGTTTTTTGCGATTTAACGGGTGCGCACAATTTTAAAGCTTGACATGTTTGGTGTCTATTTACCCGACGTGACCCCATCTTTTATAAATTTACCAAAAAATTGGGTAATAATAAATGGTTTATAACATAAACGTAGAGAGAACAGGTTTTTTTTCAAAATTTTCGGTACTTTATTATCCAGTAAAAAAAAAAAAAAAAACCATAGTGGTGATTAAATACCACCAAAATAAAGCTCTATGTGTCCCCAAAAAAGGGTATCAAATTCATTTCAGTACAGCGTTGCATGACAGAATAAATGTCAGTCAAAGTACCGCATCGCTAAATACTGAAAAATGGCCTGGCCAGGAAGGGGGTGTAAACACCCCGGTCAGCAAGAGGTTAAAGCACTTACCTTAAATGATGTTTCTTAATCCGATCTTCTTTCCTGTCGTTTTCATCTGTCCCTCCAGCGATGCGGTGGCTCTCCGATCCAGCTCCGACTCCTTTGTCCTTGCTGGCACTTCCTGTCCCACGGTGTCTGCATGCGGGTGCATGCGTCCATATACTTACCTTGTGTCTCTCCTCGTCTCCTGGCCGAACATGTGAACTGCGCATGCAAGATGCTTTGCGGCCGCCCGAGAACTATCACATATTCGGACGGGAGCGTGCGGGGAAGACACAGGAGTTAAACTCAGCGTGCGGGAAAGACACAGGAGTTAAAGACGCAGTAGATATATGCAAAAACACCGAAGGGTTTAATAACCCTTTAACACCTAGGTGACAGTGCTTGTGTGTGCGTTTTACACGCACACACACATTAAGTCACACGTTTTAGTGAGCAGATTGTGGCACATTGATATAAATGGGCAAATGCACATTTTTGAGCACTTCCATTGAAGTCTATGGGGCCAAGAAGCGCTTAATCTGCCAAAAAGTAGCACTTTTTGCATCAACTGGCATTTTGCTACAAGTAACAAAACACTCAAATTTGAACATGGCAATAAAAATTAATGGGATTTTATTTTGGGTTTTTTTAGCGTTTAAGGCAGAATGAGCGCTGCAGAACGCTGGGTGTGAACGGAGTCTTACTTTACTCAGCTCTATGCACAACAGTGCGTCATGACATTAAGTACCGTGCAGTGAACTGCAGATCAGTGCAATTTTATGGCATGAACAGGACCCATTTTTCAATGTGCCTTTGCTTGATCTATGTATCATCATATCCCAACAGACATGGGGTGAACGAATCCTAAGTGTGGAGTGTCAACATGATGGGGTTGTTAGCATTACAAACAGTTAGCACACGAGCAGTCTGTATACTATGTTGTTTATCCAATGGATTAGATTCTGCTTTTAAAACAATATTTTCCTAAGTGCTGCCTACCTCAGAACAAAAAGACCGGGCCTTGATTACCACACGCCAATGCTTCCGTATCAAAACACACACACTGACACCTCTCCGACCTTCACCGGCACATGCCACAGACAACCTGGACTGGGTGACCGGAAACAAGCATGACACCGCAGCTCAGTCGCTCTCTCTCAAACCTCCACGGGGGCGGGTCTTACACGCTCAACTCCGATAGGACAATTTACCCATCATTCAAAGCTTAGGCTACGTTCATGTGATTCTAGTATCTAATAACACAGCGCTGATTGGTTGTAAGATGGCACGTGCAGAACGTACAGCGGGGAAGATGAACAACTAACAGAATGTAGATAAGGGACATATAGTGTTTATGTGTCTTCAGTAGGAGCGCCATATTTCTGAAGCCTAGCTATGGAGTGTTAAATCGGGTAACATCAGTCTTTACAGCAAAATAAGGAAAACAATATTTATATTGTATAAAATGGGGAAGGATTGGGGGGGGGGGGAAAATGAGGTAAGATGGACTTTTAGGCTAAATGGCACCTGATTTATTCATGCAATAAACAAAAAGATTCAGGTACATTCTGTGCATACAATCCACAGTTATATGCAGTCAAATATCCATTTTATCGTTACATAACTTAATGTGATAAAGCAGGATTTATCAATAATGATGAAATGTGATGAATAATAAGGGCCACAAAGAAAAGGTCTGAAAATTGAGGTGGAAACTGGATTTGCTCTTGGAATCCCACATCCAGTGGTGCGTTAAACCTGGCCATGCACTACTCGAATTTCAGCTGATTCAGGAGGAATTTGAGCTGTAGGTGGCCCTGTTGGCACCACTTGGCTTGACATAAGGAAAAAAAAAAAGGAATCCTGATAGAAAATTGTCAGCTGAACAGTGACTACATCCAATCAGACGCTATCACAGTTCGGGTATTCAGGAGCCACGCGTCCCACTGGCTATTGAATACAATAGCTGGCAAAGGAGATTGCTTCCTCCATACGGTTTATGTCTGGGGAATTTAATTGATTCCTGCCATTCAGCACTTAATGAGAAAAATCTAAAAGGTATATGGCCAGCTTAACCACTTGAAGACTATGGTGTTCCACTCGCTTTCTGGCCAGGCCATTTTTCAGTATTCAGCGCTGCAGTACTTTGACTGACGTTTATTCCGTCAAGCGAAGCTGTACTGAAACGAATTTCATACAATTTTTTGGGGGCAGATAGAGCTTTCTTTTGGTGGTATTTAATTACCACTGGGGTTTTTATTTTTTACTATATAACAAAAAAAAGTACCCTATATTTTGAAAAAAAAACGTGTCCCTATAAAATGTTATGAAACATTTATTATCACCCCAATTTTTTGGTAAAATATAAAAGACAGGGTCACGTCGGGTAAATAGACACCAAACATGTCAAGCTTTAAAATTGCACATGCCCGCGAAATCGCAGAAAACGACCACAACCAAAATTGGCCATAGGCGACGCATTAAAAGTTTTTACCGCTCATCAGTTTAGTGTTATCAGTGATTGATGGCCCTAGAATTATTGCTCTCACTCCGAGGTTCGCGGCGATATGTGACATGTGCGGCATAATGGGCGCAATCGTTGCTTTTGTACATAGGCGCACCCGACACATGTTTGCGTGTGTATGTGGGGGGGGCAGGGGTCTTTAAAACATTTTTTTATTTTTTCTTATTATTTGTGAATATATTTTTTAGCTTCTTTATTTTTTTTTAATGCTTGAATTATTTTATTTTTTTTAGACAACTTTATTGCTATCACATAGGGGACTAAGAAATCCCCTATGTGATAGCCAGTTCACCAAACAGGTCCCTTTTATGGAGACATCAGGGGTCTCTAAGACCTCTGATGACACCTAGGGAACCCCCAGAGAAGCTGATGAAGCAGCTCCTGCAAGCGATCTCTAGAGACGCCTGATCGCTTATATGTAAACAGCAATCGCTGGCTGTTTACATGCTCACAGTTTTCCCTGTGAGGGGGCAGGACATCTTAAGGCGCCCTCCCGATCCTAGCAGACTCCTGTGCGGCCGTTCACAAACGGCCATAGACGGAAGGTGGTTAAGCACATTTTTAAAACACACCAATGTGCCATAGCCTTAAGGTGACCATACACCTTACGAATACCGTCCGATTTTCGTATGTGAACGCGTTTTCATCCCATATTCGTAAGGTTGATGGGCAGTGTACAACCGCAAATACTGTACAATCGATCGACTTTTGACTAACAAGCAGGCTAGAAAACTTCGGTCAATCGTACGATTTTCGCAAGGTTGGTGGTATTTACATAGTCAAAATTCGTACAATCTACACTGCACATGCGCAGACGAAAATACATGCGGTCGATTACCGCAATTCGTCCAGCTGCTTTCTTCTAATTACCGCTGATCCAATCTTGTGATAATCGGGGCGGGATGGGGCCGCCGTACCAAAATCGTATGACGGTTTGATCATCGGACGAAAAGTGTTGTCTGATGATCGCAAGGTGTATGGGCAGCCTTAGACTTCTTAGGGCTTGTCTGTTGAGCTGCATTTTTCTGCACACCACCACCCATGTATGGTATGAACAGGACACATTTGCGAGTTGGAGAACAAAATTGGGTGTAGCAGGAAGTGCCGTATCTCTGGGGGCCCATTTAGCATCACATTTTGTCATGGTATCCGTCAGCTTAGGCGCCTTCTTTTCATTGGTCATAGTCCATGTGATATGGCTCTTCACTGCAGAAAGACTAAAGGTGCCCACACACCTTGCGATAATAGTACGATAATGGCGGGAAATCCCATGAACGTACGATTATCGCAAGGTGTGTGGAAGGCGTGCGACCTCTGATACTGTAAGGTCGCCCGACTTTTATCTTATGAACATGTTCGAAAACCCGCCGAGAATCGTACGATTGTCGGCGGGTGTGTGGCATGTTCGTAAGATAAATGCTGCACGGGCCGGTGTGCGCAAGCGCACACTGCCCATTCGGCATTGCGGTCAGCGGGGCGGGCTTGCGATCATTGCAAGTACGATCTGCCTGTCCAAGATAAGTTTATTTTAATTACCTTACAACCATCGTAAGACAAAAGTCTTGCGATGGTTGTAAGGTGTGTGCCCAGCATAAGACTAGGCAACTTTCACAATCTTGCAATCTCTTTTTTGCAGCCATGAGTACACATAGTAGAATACAAAAATTGGATCAGGTTAAGGGCAGACAGTATAGCAAGTATATAGAAGCCCCAAATCTATAACTGTCTTACCTGAGCACTTGTTCACTGATGTTTATGCCTATGCAGTGTTGAGGGAAAGACATGACTGCCATCACCACTTCTCACTGGGGGGTTAGCCATCAGAATAGGTTTCCTACAATCAGGTGATTCTCCTTTCATGTCTTTGACCAGCTTAAATCGTATAGGAAGGCAACATAAAAAAAACATTAGTACATCTTTGCAATACATGCACACTTTTCTATGGTTTATTTTTTTAAACATGCTGCAAGTACATACAAATATCTGTTGATGTGCAAGAAATATAGTATGCTCCTACCTTCCATTTTGACATGACAACACTATGAGGGGAATTTATCAAAATTGTAGCAGACAAAATCTGGAGTAGTTGCCCAGGGCAACCAATCAGCTTCTCTTTAGTTTGTTCAGTCAAGATTTGAAACTGAAAGAGAGAAGCTAATAAGTTGGCGTGCACAGCTGCTCCAGATTTTGTCTGCTCCAGTTTTGATAAATTCCCTTTTATGTATGTTCAGCTCTGAGTTTCTAAGCACATGGTTTCTGTGATGGCGGCAGTCTCAAATACCACTGCCACCATCAGAATTCATGTTCAGACTCACCCTGCAGAGATTTTCCAACTCACAAGACCACAAGATAAGCACCAGCAGACTAAAGCTGGCCATACACTTATAGATTTTCTACAGTCAGATGGAAAAAGTGCAACAAATTCCTCCATCTATGCTAAACTGTGTGGATGGAGGAATCTCCCACTGGGCCAAGCTTCAGTATCTTGCTAGTCAGCCCCGCTGGCTCTCAAAATACCTGAACAATGCCTGTATCCAATTAGATAGTTCAGGTATTTTGATAGCCAGCGGGGCCGACTAGCAAGATACTGAAGCTAAGATTGCTCCATCCACACAGTTTAGCGTAGATAGAGGAATCTGTTGCACTTTTTCCATCTGACCATAGGCGTGAGTGACAGCTGGCTCTGCCTATCTAGAGGCAGAGACAGCTGTACCCGCCCCCTCCCCCGTCCATTCCGCCAGTCAGCGCTGACGGATCGGAGCGGGGAGAGGGGAATCCAGCCCCTCCCCTAATGGAAACACACACCATTCACAGCATGTGATGTAACAATTCTGACCATAAGAAATGTCTGTGACACTCACTGCCACATCATACAGGAAAGTAAGAGAGTTTAAAATATGGTAGTGTTCTTCAAAGAGGCAAAGAGTCTTTAATTTATTATTTTGAAAATCAATTTAACATTTTTTAAATATATGTTATATATCCTTATACAAATTTACAAATGTTATGCACGATTTTAACAAGAAAGAATAAACTCTGCTTTTAAGTAACATAGGCCTTGGATAATATTTTGGTTTACCTTCTATTCTGCTAATAGAAATGTGGTATGGCAAGCTTATGATCCCTGCCCATGACTTGAGCAATATTTTACAACAGGTTTTATTTAACCCCTTCATGACTGAGCTTGTTTTTAGTTTCTGTTCGTAAATGACTGACACACTTTTGACATTTTTGCTGTGTGATTCTTCCACGTCAGTAATATACTTTCTTACAAAGTGCACCCACACATATTATATATTGTTTTTTAGAGGACAGATAGGGCTACATATTTATATCACATATGTGTGTCTAACGCCTCACTTAGGACAAATAAATATAAAAAAAGAGGAAAAAAACTTTTAAAAAACCCAGTTTTGATTTGTAGTATTTTTTACAAAACGAGCACAGCTAAAAAAAATGCAATAAATACATTCATTTATTTATCCTTTATTTTTTATTTTTTTACACTTTTGTTTTTTCTTTGCACTTTTCACTATTTTTTTTTACACTTTTCACTATTTTTTTAAAACTTTAAAAACGTTTATTTTATTTATTTAATTATATCAAGCAGTCATTGTGAATTAATCTCACTAT